GTTTAACGGTTGGGCTAACAAATGGACTCCGAATGCGACGAAACTTGGCAGGCGGTCTGCCTACACTATAATAAGACCGCACGACAAGTTGCAACCCATTCCGAGAACATTCTTATGCCACTTATAAAATAATATTTCGGAGGTGCCGCGGGCGCGTGCGAGTGTGTCTGGCTCAGAATGGACAACGGAGAGAACCGGTGGAACCCGAACGGATGCAAGTTTTGAAAAACATGTGGATGAAATGCAGATGATGACATGGCAAAATGCAACACGCAAGCAAATGACATGGCAACGACGGCGAATAACTGGCGGACACCTGGCGCATCGAATCCGGGGCGTTACAAGGGCGCTCGTTCGGCCGGCATTGCCTTCGTGTCATGTGGCGCCACGGTGATGGTGGCGAACATGCGAGGAGCCACAATTGGAGAGCATGCCGCCATGAGCGTGGCGACGTGATGAGAGGAGACCGGCGCAGCAAATGCTGCGGTTGAGAGGCGCTCAACGGAGATGGAGCGCACAGCGCCACCAAAGCGGAACGAGAGGAGCGTGGCCACCAGAGTGTTGTCGACCATGAAGTCCGCTTTGTGGACGAAGAAGATGATTTTGGTTGGTGAAGCCGAGGTAAGTGGCATTATGAAAACTTTGGATGAGAACAGATCGAGGATGTTGCGTGCAAAGTCCACGCCGGGCGAGGGGAAGAACCCGAGCTGGGAATGCATCAGCGTGGCCGAAGCGGTCGCCGATCTGCGATTCTTTCTCCCCAGTAGACAGTTGATCATCTCCTTTAAAACATAGAACCCATGCAATGCAATATTTGTGCAATCCAATAGAAGAAGGCACGAAAAATCTGAATTTCCTTGTATATGGATGAAATTTGTTCTACTCCAGGGCACGAAGCCACCAGATAGGTAAATGATGGACCAGACCACCTGGCCCATATTATCTATTGATGGACCACACCACTTGGCCCACATAATCAAATATTACAGACATCAAAATTTGTCTCCTTTTTGTGGCATCTGTGTTTCTTGGAGGCCCATAGTTTTTCTTTATTCCCTACATCTAAAAAAATAACATAAAGTGTGCATATTTTTCAAAACCTACCTTGATCAACCACTAGTTTAAGAGTTAGTATGTAACACAAAATCTGTGCCATGTTAGAAATCAACAAGTAATAAGCTAAAATAGATCCAAAAGTCATGGAAACTCTACTACATCGAAAGAAGTACTTCAAAATTAGGGGCTCTACAGTAAGATGATAATTCATCACACACAGCTCACAAGAAAAGAAATAAGGTAGAGTTAGAGATGGAAACCTAATCCATGATGCAGAGGACTCTGTCTAATGGTCTCGGCTACACTAGACGCTCGTGTCTCATGTAATAAATCTTGAGAAATGCGTGCATGTACCTTATATATTTGGATGGGATTAGTATTAGAGTACTGCAGGGTGCCTTCTCTTCAAGGTACTCCCTCCGTTCCATATTAATTGTCGCACTAGATCTGCGACAACTAATATGGAACAAAGGGAGTAACATTTTTCAGACAATAAATGGTAAACCTTTCTTACAAATTAATCAATAAAAGCTACAGATTAGGATTGCAAGCGGTTTAGAAGAACACTACGGGGAGAAACTGTTGCTCAATGGATAGAATTGAAGTGGTTGATATAATATCTCTTACTGATTGCAAGGAGAGTGTGTGTCTTGGAAACTGAGTGCAAAAAGGGTCTTCTCTGTCAGGGAGCTATATTTGCAACTCAAAGCAACTGACCTAGTTGGATACAGAGGTACATGGAAGATCAAAATGCCCTTGAAAATCAAGATCTTTCTGTGCCTTTTCATTAGGAATAGTGTTTTGACAAATCTACTCAAAAGAGGGTGCACTGGCCACAATCAATGCTAATTCTGTGGTCATGCAAAGACAAAATCATTTGTCCCTTGACTTTAATCTTGCCAAGTTCACCTGGAGAGTGGTCTTTAGTGCTCTTAATTTGGTTGGACCTCCTGAAGATTTCAGGGCTTAATTAGTGCTCTGTGGACCCTGTGTTCCTCCTGGCCAACGCAAACTAGCTCTAGTGGGGGGCTGCTTTCTGTTGGACCATTTGGAAGACCAGAGATTCGACATATTTTGATAAAAAATACCCGATGATCATGCAATAGTCGCCCCTCTTGTGTTTCAATCTGTACATTTCGTTTGTTTTGCATAAAAAGTTTGCTCTACCATGGTGTAGTGGCACTGTGGCCAAAACTACTATGTTTTGCATGCTGCTCGTTTGTTCTGAACCAGGGACCCGCATGGTTACCTGGTTTTGCTTTCAGTTTCTAGTTCCAGTTTGATGTTTGCTCACTATGGTTTCTCTAATGAAAATCGATGAGGAGGCTTGTTGTTTAAAAAAATGAATCAATACGTTGGACAAGCCTTTGATTCTTACCCCGAGGTGTCCACTCGGTAAGAAAGAGTCAAACCACCTGATCATTCCAGGTTGGCATGCATGTGTTTTCTAGCGTGAAGTCGGCATGCATGTACGTGGAACAAGATAAAAAGGCACTAGAAATCCACCCAGGAAATAAAGGACAAAACATCGTGTAGTACAGCCCTGAGTGATGCAAGTTATGCGAAGGCAGCAATTCTGGTGCGTGCATAGACATACCGTACGTGACAAATGGCGTATTACATACGTAGCCTCTGTCTGTTGGACTTAGTCTGGCCTTGTCTCCATCGACCGGCTCACACTGAGTCAATTTTTTCCTTAGGATAGTATATAGGACGTGCTGTGCTGTGGACTGGACATCTATTTTTCCTATCTCTTTTCCTAAGATTTATGGGCAGGTGCACACGGGAGGCAGTAGCAGGTGATTTTCCTGCATTTAGACTCGCGACTACTGATGTAAGTGCACTATTGCAGTGGTGACTTAGCCAATGCTTCTTGAAATAAACAACAAGACAAATTGCTTGGCCTCGCCTATATAAATAGCTCGTCACTAAATGGCACGCAACCGCAGATAGATAGGCAGGCGCACAAACAATCGTAGTACTACAAGTTATTGACGAGATATGGACGCCGGCGGCGATGCTACCGAGAGCAAGGAGCATTTTGTCCTAGTGCACGGTGCCGGCCACGGCGCCTGGTGCTGGTTCAGGCTCCTTCCCCTGTTCCGGGGCTCCGGCCACCGCGTCTCCTGCGTCGACCTTGCTGGGGCAGCCGGCAGCCGCGTCGACCCCTGCTCTGTCCGGTCGTTCGACGAGTACACCGCGCCGCTCGTCGGCCTCCTGTCCGCGCTGCCAGACGGCGAAAAGGTGACGACAGTAACCGTGTACCCACACCCCCTTCTTGTAATTGGATGCTTGCATGCATGCACTAGTTTTTTTTTTTTTTTGGTTACTGCACTACTCTTTCAGTCTCAGGGGAACAAAATATAGCTTCAAACTACATTCTTCTAAGAACTACCCACTCTGTAAGCTTTTATAAGACGTTTTATGATCACACTTATTTTCCATTGCTCTTTATTAGAAAATCACTTTCTATGACTTCCAACAGACTGATGAGCCGCACAATGGCCTAGTGTAACTTACCTAAAAAAACCTTTATAACAAGGCCACTTGCCAATTATGTCGAAATAAGAATTGTGTATCTTATGGAAATCATGATAGATGAAAAAAAATGTGGTTTTTGCGGGATAAAAGCGTATAGTATACTGAGAATCAAAGAAATTTACTCACAATAACAAGGAAATCTCGTGTTACAGATTGATACTAGCACAGTAACAAAACTAATGGTAGCATATTGATTTCCTCAGGTGATGTTGGTTGGGCACAGCGCAGGAGGGCTAAGTGTGACCCATGCAATGCATTTATTCAGCGACAGGATTAAGCAGGCAATCTTCATAGCAGCAACCATGCTCCCGTTTGGCTACCAAACGGAACAAGACATCAAAGATGTGACTGCTTGAACTCTCTTATCATAAGCTCATTTAAACTCTTATTATGTCCGGTTACAGTAGCAGCTACCATCAGTTCTTCCTTTCAAGAATTTCAGCTGAAATTTAACAGGGCGTACCTGATTTATCCGAGCTCGGGGACGTGTATGACCTAGCATTTGGTCTTGGAATGGATCACCCACCAACGAGTGTAGCACTGCAGCCAGAGTTCCAGCGCATGATCCTGTCCCAGCAAAGCCCCCGAGAGGTTGGTTAACGAAATTGCAACGTTGAATCATCCGCCGATGTGTTATACGCCATGGTCGTGGCACTGTAACTATAAGATGTTTGTTCAGGACTCTGCGCTTGCCTCCATTCTACTCCGTCCATGGCCTGCCGCCTTGAGCGCAGCCAGGTTTGGGAGAGGCGGCGGGGACAGCAGCACAATCGACCAGGTGTTGCGCGTGTACATAACAACGGCAAAGGATTGCATGGTGAAGCCAGAGCAGCAGGAGGCGATGATCCGTCGGTGGCCACCGAGCAAGGTTGTGGCCATGGACACCGACCACAGCCCCTTCTTCTCCGCACCGGAGCGTCTCTTTCAGCTCATCGTCAAGTTACTGTGACCACTTGTACACCATGCATGCATGGTCTGGGTGACGCCTAGCTGCTCCTGCTCTTGTATTCTCCACTTCTCCAGTCTTCACTGTGTGATGTTACTTGCATGCCAATTAAGTTATCAACAAGGCTATGTTAAAGTTCCAGATGTACCACGCGTGAATATATCATGGTCTAAAACCAGCAATTAACACCGCAAAACATCCTCCGATAAGTTAGCACGTCCATAAGGGCCAAATGCCAAACACGATGCAGGGAGGAGAGAAACCAGCTGGTCCACGCGCTATATCCTGCCATTTTACATGCAAGATATGCAGAGAGCACCTGGCATGCATCCATTTATAGTAGACCTCAATGGACGACCTGCTTGGTTTTGACATTTGGAACTGGCGCACAAATGCAGTTGTCCCGGTGATTGGTACAGAGGTAATGATGCACTCAATAGGCAGATGCTGAACGGGCATGGCAGGGGAGCATTTGGTGCTTGTTCATGGGGAAGGGCATGGAGGGTGGTGCTGGTTCAAGCTCCGGTGGCTCCTTGAGGGCTCCGGCTACCAAGTGACCTGCATAGACCTTGCCGGAGGCGGCGTAGACCCAACCGACCCCAACACTGTACGGTCATTCGAGCAGTATGACAAGCCGCTCCTGCGCCTCATCTCCGCCTTGCCAGAGGGTGAGAAGGTAGGATCCTGCAGTATTGCTGCTAATTTATAAACTACTTATGGCCACAAAGTGCTGAAGGTAGTTTGTTGCTTTGTTGTGAAGCTGCTTAGGGACATTGTGTCCAAAATGATGAAGAGTTATAGGCGATACGGTTTACCTTTTGAAACTCATTTTGATCGAATTTCAGGTGATTCTCATTGGGCATGGCAGTGGAGGGCTGAGTGTGATTCACGCAATGCATGAATTCGTTGACAGAATTAAGCAAGCAATATTTGTGGCAGCTGCTATGCTGCCATTTGGACTTCAGACTGATGAAGATAAGAAAGATGTATGTTTTGTTCCTTAAAAAATGTTTTCAGGCTGCACTTTATTTTGTCATGACGCATGAGCCACCTACCAAGTGCTGAGAATGTGTCCTAACTAACAAACATATACATACGACAAAACTGAAATCCTTAGTACATATATAACTCAAACAGACATGGTAAAGACCAGGATAAATACGATGGGCAATGTTAACCAGGCACTTGGAATATTTCCTGAGAATTTCAGTTTGTTCTCGTTGTCGTCATTTGCATGATAGAAATGAAATAACAGGTTCAACAATTCTTGGAAAAATTTATAGAACAAATTCCACGTGTTGAAATTATTGAATAAGCTCTGTTGCAAATTTATTGCATATCTGGAAGCTTCCTTTCATGGTTATATACTGACTATGTCCGACTAATGACAGTTTCTGTATATTAATGTGTAACAGGGCTTACCAAGTTTGCCTGAGAATGAGACCGAGTTGACATTCGGTGCAGGAGCAGATGATCCTCCAACTACTGTCGCCTTGAGATTAGAATTCCAGCGTGATCGACTATCACAACAAAGCCCTGAGGAGGTACTATATGCATGAGCCAATGTGCTCATGAAATCCACATCTTTATCAAATTGTACAGATTCTATAATCTGAGCCCAGTATTATAAAATTTATTATAGCTATTTCCTGACAAGATATTGCTATCATTTCCCATGCATGTGTCTTGAACAACCTTCTCAAGAACTAAACATCATACACAATTAAGAGGTAACCAATGGTCCGAATTTTACTTACACATGTTTTATGAAAAAATCTTGTTCAGGAGTCAATACTGGCTTCAATGCTGATGCGCCCATGGCCTGCAAGTGCTATTGGTACTGCAAGCTTTGAAGGAGCTGATGAGAGATTGAATCGAATAAAGCGGGTTTTCATAAAGACACAGCGTGACCACATGCTGGACCCTCAGCAGCAAGATTCCATGATCAAGAAGTGGCCACCCAGCGAGGTTTTGGTCATAGATACAGACCACAGCCCCTTCTTCTCTGCACCAGAACAGCTCTTTAACCTAATAGTCAAATCTCTATGATGCAAATATGCAGATTACTGAACTCTCTATAGTGGGTTTGTTCAAATTCTTGTAACATGACATATACTAAGTATCCGAGTTAGGATAACATCTTTGTGAAGCATGTTTCTCAGGGAATCTTCAAGACAAATGGATAAATGGTTTAAGGGTGTAAGTAAAGCTGGTTTAGGGTAAACATTACCATTCACTTTGTAAGCAAGTAACTCAAATCAGGCCTACGTAATTCCCATTTTAGATAAGTCTACGTGTTATTCCAAAAGAAAAAGGAAAAGAAAAGGACCGAGTCAAAGGTGCTGAAGTGTATATATGGATTGCCTAGCCCTTTCCATCATTTCGGACTTTTGGTTCCGCTGCCTAGACATGAAGCTTAACATGGTATCAGAGCCTAAGGTCTTGAGTTCAAGTCCTGGCTTTCGCAGTTAATCCAAAAATTGCTACTGCCCCCCTCTATGTCCATGTATAGGCCTCTTGAGCCATACCTCTGAGTCTATTCACATATTGACTTCCCGCGTCACACGTAAGAGGAAGTGTTGAAGTGTATATGTGGATTGTCTAGCCCTTTCCATCAGTTCGGACTTTTGGTTGCGTTCAGTCTTTATCTTTTCTCAGGAACCAGCATTAGCCGCTGATATACAAGCCAACCAAGCAGAATGTTTTACCTTAACTAAGCTTTGCAGTAACACTTTAATTGCTGGATCAGATAACTCATCAGAAGTTACTCTTCAATGGCCACTAGAGCACAGCCTCCTTGCCCCAGCTCACACACAGTGCCTCCTCCCTTTGCTGCAAAATGACAGCATCAACTCCATCTTGTGCCTTTTCCCCTTGCTGACCACGACTTCTGGTGCCTCACAAAACGAGATGACAAACTCAGCTATCCTATGCAGAGATTCAACCTTTCCTTTTCCAGCAACACGGAGAATTTGCTTCATATAATTCACGATGGGAAATTAGGAATGCAGTCTCACATCATATAAACTGTGGAAAATCGTGGAAAAATTTCATTGAAACTCATGGCGTTCGCATCTCACACTGTTAATCATGGAAAATTTGTTGACGCCTAGGAATAGAACCTATCCAGCAAATCGAACACAGCAACTCGACCACGCATTCGATCGAACAGGTGCCGTGCTACTGCCCTACACCACGGACAGCCCCTATCCTCAGCATGGTATAACTGCTCACCTGGCATGGAACACCTCCCTGGCGTCGTAGAGGAAGGCGCTATTGTCGAACGTGGAGGTCTGCGGCGGCGGGTGGCGGCGGCGGCCTCGTCGACGGCAGCAGTTACTACATGCAGCGGCGCCGCTCCACCATTCAGTGTTACTCTGCCGCTCTAATGTGAGACCACCGTGCGGGTCCCGCACCCTGACCGCTTAAACACACTTGGACGCTGACGGGTGGGCCTCACGTGGCAGGAACGGAAACACACCGCGAAGCTTTGGCTAATCCAACCCACAGAGACGGCGCGCATGGCGACCGCGGCGGCGGCGGCGTCGCTCCGGTACTTCCCCTCTTCCATCAGGAACCGCAGCTATCCCGGAACTATCGGCGGCGGCGCTGTGGTCACGTTTTCTCCACGGCGGGGCCGCTGTGCGACGGCGGCCGTGGCCGCGCCTTCGCGGGAGGCGGAGCCGGCCTCCTCGCTCGGGGACCTCACCCGCGTAGACTTCCCCATCCTGGACCAGGTCTCCCCTGCTCATCTCCGGCTCGTCTCGTTGTTTGGTTGTTCGTGCCATTCCAGTCCAATTTTGAATTTGATTAGTGAAATAGTATTTACAGTCGCGCATCTAATTATGTTTTTTCCCGATAAATTATCGGATCGTTCTTGATTGCGGCGCGTCTAGATACTCCTGATTACAACATGTATGTAGTCCTGCTTTTGCTGCTGCCTGGAAATATTTCCATTTGTTCGTAAGAGAGTCTATGCTTCACCGTAGGGAGTTCCAACTGTTGTTCAAGGCAGTGTGTACGCAATTGGAGCGAGGGGCCATGGAGGTTTATTCCCAACATGGGTGGCAGCATAACCTCTGTATCGGCCCATCGCCTCCTTCGACATAGACATAGTGACGGTCCTATTTGACTCTACTGGTGCTGATATGTCAAATTTTTATCTTCTTTCAGACTGTTTGTGTTTGGCTGTGTGCATCCTAGCTATGCAGAGGCTGGGTGTTGCTCATCATGATTTCCTCTTGATGCTACATTATGAGTTAATTAAAGCGCTCTTTATCGAAAAAAATGTTCATAAGAGAGATATGGGCTTTTAGCATATCACCATGTCTGGTGCAGTTACCACTACGGATAAGCTGATATAAGTTTCACTCAGCTTTCTTTTGATTCGGTTATGCGTGTAAAACATCCATTTGTAGGGCCCTCCAGAACAGTTGTTTTATTCAATGTGGATTCAGTAACTGCAAAATTATTGTTGGTTTACATGCTGGATTCTTTCGTTATTACTATGTCGCAAACTTTAACCTTACATTTTGTTATGTATACACTTTTGGCATTCAAGTGAGGTGGTTTTTATATCATTTATGATCATCGGAACTTGCAGGAATTTGATGGTAACAAATTAGTTTACTTCGACAATGGTGCAACATCACAAAAACCCTCTCATGTGATGAAAGCCTTAGACGACTACTACCGATTTTATAATTCGAATGTTCACCGTGGCATTCATGCTCTCAGGTAATTTTTTGATTTGTCCTTTATGTCTTAATTGGGTGTTGCAAGTGTAAAATACCCACTAGTACCAGGAATTTGGATGCATATTCTCTATCTCTAAGTGTGAGTAAAGCAAGGCTGTGGCCCTGATGTAATATCTGGCTCTAGACCCCTAGAGGCGTTGAGCTGTGCAGGAGAAAACCCCTTTTTTTTTTGAGAAACAGAAGATTACCCTTTTACTCTCCTACTAGGAATATGGATGTGAATCACCACAGAACACCCCCTACAGCATAAAACTATTTTACATAATTACATTTCACTTTTCTCCTTGCACAATTTCTTCTGTGATTTCCCCCATATCTGACTTGTCTGTTTTGTGAGGTATGGTAGTGCTCACATAATTTTATTGTATTGGACAATGATGCTATAGGTGTCGTGTTTTGAGATATATGATGATCAACTGTGTGCATAGAAAGATATAGCAGTTGATTTGCTTCATAGTATGTCATTGCTAGGCTGCTAGTTTTGTATCACTCAGTCAAGTAGGTTATCATATGCTTTTAGTGTTTGCGAGCTATGTGCATATGTATACACATGTTTTGCTCCTACTGACATGTTTTCTTCACTATCATCAGCGCAAAGGCTACTGATGCATATGAGAGTGCAAGAAGGAAAGTTGCAAATTTCGTCAATGCGGCTGATAGTAGAGAGATTATTTTTACTCGTAATGCTACAGAAGCTATCAATTTAGTAGCTTATTCGTGGGGCCTATCTAACTTAAAACAAGGAGATGAGGTGAATCCTCCATCTTCCCCAGCTGATACTTCGTGCTCTACCTGCCAGTCATAATTTCTTTTTATGCTTCTACTTTGATGCATATCATGAATATTGTTCTTCAAACACTGTTTGACCTGTTTCATGTATTTATGCATCCCCATATTATTTTCCTCATCTCTTTCTAGCTCATTAACTGCTAACTCTTCATATAGTGATTCATAACCTGCCGTTGTTCTAGATAAAATTGTTAAATTTATCTTATAAGAATTTCACCAAACATTGATTTTTATCACGATTCATAGAAATATGCATTTACACTTATTGATAGTAATTCGTCTGCTATTTCTGCCGAGCAGATTATTCTTACAGTTGCGGAGCATCATAGTGCGATTGTTCCTTGGCAATTTGTATCCCAAAAAACTGGTGCTGTCCTAAAGTATGTTGGGCTGACTAAAGAAGAGGTTCCAGACATTGAGCAGTTAAAAGGGCTTCTGTCAAGCAAGACAAAGATTGTTGTTGTCCATCATGTTTCAAACGTCCTGGGTAAGAAGGTTTTTTTTCCTTTTCAGATATTTATTTATTTAAGGTTCATGGA